CAACAACAATTCTTAAAATACGAGTGTATAAACCAAGCTAACAAGCTAACTCCTATGACTAATATATTAGCTAAGTATTGACCTCACTAAACAAGCATCATTTTCATCAACAAATACTAATTCTTACCAAATCAAGTCTCTTTATGATTTATTAATGATTTAATATACTCAAAACTAGGGCACATTAACTACTCTAGTAAACTAATTATTATTGGGCTACAATAATTACAGAGAACACCTGATAATACTTCTAACTTACTGTAAAATTTTTAGAGCTAACACTATCACCGATTTAACACGAAATTTCCTACAAGTTTATATCTTAACGATATTAAGTATGTTAAAATAATTAGAGCAATCCTAAAAACATACAGAGCCTATGCGAACGAAATACCCTATCAGATAAATCATGATTTTAGAAACTTAACAAACTTGGTTTGGCATTTTTGTGATTTTTCTACACTTTTTGGCGGAATTACGAAGTTTCTGCAAATAAGAAAAAGGAAAAAAGGGTCAGGCTCGGCCTCGGCCCGGTACAAACGCACTATACCTGTGACCAGTGGAGGCCAGGGCCCAAAGAAGCGAGGCATACAGCAACCATGAGCCATGGCCTGGCCATGAAGTGGCCCATCATGGCCATGTAATGTGCCCAAAGGGAGCAATGCCCAAAGAAATTAAAGTAAAGCCGGCCCACATGCGGATGAGCCCAGGCGCAGTGGCAAACTTGCACGAAGGCCCCTGAACTATCTCGAAACTAACCTGCAGTACAAAACACTATTCATGTGAGTTACGGATTTTGCATAGGGAACCTAAAAAAGTTTCTATTTCAACCCATACCCTTCTTTCTCAGGCTCGTACAAAGCGGAGGCCGAGTCGATGGGAGGAGCCAGGATCTGGCCGGCGAGGTCCCAAAGGTGACGATGGAGGGGAGGCGCGGCACCCAAGGGCCCATGCACACCCGCAAGCGGGGCGCAGCTTGGGCGAAGGCGACCGGGAACCATCTTGCCACCAGCGCCAGCCATGTGCGCCAGTAGCTGCCGGCCCACTCAGGCGACGGTGGTAGTCTTTGCGCATGCGGCGGCGGGTGGCGAGCGCAGGCTCCTCGATACCGGGCGGACATGGCGCGCTTCTGACTAGGCCCCTGCTAGTGCTAGGGGCGGTAGCAGCAACTGGCAGCGTGCGTCTGTGTGGGCGATGACCCGGCGAGGGGCATGGCGACTCCGGCGACACGGGCTACTCTGGCGGCAGTGGGAGGCCTGGCGGAGAGCGAGCGAGAGGTGATGGTGCGGCGTCCCGGCGAGAGAAGGAGAGAGTGGAAACAACGGTGGCCGAGCTCGAGCTTGGAGGCAGGGGAACAAGCGGCAGTCGCAGCTCGGCCTCGGCTTAATGGCGCACGAGACAACCGACAGGCATCGTGGCAAGGACACGGGCAGCAGCAGAGCGAGAGAGGGAGAGAGAGAGAGAGGGCAGTATGTGGCAAGGCCAGTAGAGGGAGGGAGAGCAAGGAGCCGGAAAGGCCAGCAAGCTCGGTCCTATCTCATAACGCGCGCGTCATACCGGTGAGGTAGGTGAGATGAGTGGCCAGCGGCACTTTCGTTTTTATTTTTATTTTGTTCATATTTATTTTTTAAACTAACAAACATCACATTGACACTCGAACAAGCATACCAACATATTCACGATGTTCATATCTTGCTGCTGATATGATTTTTTCTGTTTATATTTTATATTATTTTAGCTTCCAAAAAATCATTTTCTAAAACAACTTTATGCATTTACAAGCATAACTAAAGCTCTAAGGTTTTATTGTTTAGCAAATTTTACTTTCAACAAATTTTTATTTATAAAAATTATTTTTCATGCTTAATCAAATAAACAAGCCATTCGCTATTTATTTCCTATCAGGCATTTTTAAGCATTTTCTTCATATTTTTTTTCAAAACAAGCCCTAAACAACTTTTGTCCACAAGATTATTTAAAAGTTGTTAAGCACCCAGACAAGTTGACTAGCGACACTTATTTATTTGTTTTATTCACGAAAGCGAGTCACACAATATTCGTTTATAATACCATGTGCTTTAAATTTTTAAACCCGAAAACCTGTTTTGCTAATTTCTCTTAGGCATTAACCTAGGTGTTAAGCAAGCTCGTAACACCAGAGGTGTTACACAGTCCATACCCAGAATTAGGTTGTAAGAGTCCAACTGAACAATCTTTAAATCATGCTAGAATGGGTGACCCTGTAAAGAAAACTGACAGTCCAGAATAGCAGACGTGGAGCTCAAAATCTGTCCATTAGAAGTTTTCACTGAAGCTTTCATAGGAACCCGAGCCAGCTGAGGCAACTGATCAGCAACGGAAGCAGCTAGAAATGATGAAGAACTCCCAGAATCAATCAACACGACAACAGAAAGCCCATGAATAGTGCCATAAAACCGAATAGTGTGTTGGCTGTGGGATCCCATGAGAGCATCATGTTATAGGGCCAGAGTAACTGCTCATCAGGTTCATCAGTATCTTCAGAGGCTGGCTCAATATTGAAGAAATCCTAAACTTCTTGCATTGCTTGCAGTGAAAACAGTAGCAGCACATTTGTGTCCTCTCACCCATTTCTCGACGCAGACTTCACAGAGACCCTGGGCACGGTGGTAGGCCCAAAGTGTTGAAAGCTTGTCATCTTGGCCCTTGGCAGGAGCCTTGTCGCCCATCACCTTGTCAGCACCAGGCAGCTGCGACTGTGCTAGTGTTGGTTTGTGCTGTGGTCTGAACCCCATCCTGGTGGTGTTAGTCTTCGGAGTCGAAGCCGCCACTTCCTCCTACAATAGAGCCAACGAGTACGCAGTATCGAAAGTAGAAGGACACTACAATGTAACAACTATCCTGATATCATCCCGTAACCCATCCACGAAAATGAGTGGTGAAGTAATGCATGCCAGGATTGTGTTGATAGGCTTTAAGCTGATCAAAGAGGGATGAAAAGCGATCAACATAGTCAGCGACAGTGGAAATTTTGTTTATATGGAACATTTGGCGCACAAGCTTGTCACACTGATCATGGCCAAAGCGATCGTGGAGCATTTTGCAAAAATCAGGCCAGGGTAGGCGATCTGGTTGGGGAATGGGCTCGATCCAGCGACTGGCTGCTCCACGAAAGTTCATGCGAGAAATTTTGACCCACTGGTGCGGAGGTACTTCATACATGTCGAAGTAATCCTCGGCCTGAGATATCCATAGACGAGTAGTCTCCCCCTCATAGATGGGAAAATTTTGCTCGGGTAGTTTGCCGAGATTGGGTGAGTTAGGATCAGGAGGATGGTTACGAGTATGAACATCATAAGCTTCTCCATGAAACAATGAAATCTCAGGTTTGGGCTTGGAATGCATACCATTGGCCAGGGAATGGGATTGGGAAGAATTCTCCCTAATACCATCCGCCCGTGGAGTCGTTTCGACATGGTGCCCGCTGGGCCGAGCAGCCATGAAATCCGCAGATGAACGTGCGGCGGTCTGCTCCAACGACGGAGGTGGTTGGGAGATCAACCCTATCGATGCCGTAGCGTTGTCGAGGAATGATCGATCCCAATATTTTGTGAGTTTGTCCACCTTCAGCTTGAGATCATCCATAACACCTTCGGAGTCCTGGCGCCAACTCTCCAGGGCGCCCACAACCTTCATGACGCCGTAGACGTGGTCGTCCTGACGCCGTTCAGCTTCGGCGATGAGGTTGTTCTGGCGTAGCTCGGAGTCGGTGATGCGGCGTTCCTAGGAGAGGTTGGAGTCGGCGAGGCGCTTGTTGAGGGAGTCGTCGACGTCGGCGAGGCGCTTGGTGACGGATTCGTCGACGTCGGCAAACCGCTTCTCCAGGAGGTGGCTGCTGTCGATGAAGCGCGAGTCCAGCTTCTGATCCGCCTTAGGGAATTGGTCCTCGATCTGGGTCTTCTGCTCGTTGAAGAGACGATGCATCTCGTCCAACAGGAGCTTGGAGTCCTGGTTCATGGCGCCGCGACTACGAGCGAAGCGCGTGTAGTGAGGATGCGGTGGCGGCGGCGGTGGCTGACGATCCAACGCCGGTAATCGAAACGGATTGCTCACGTGCCTGGGAATTACGAAAATCGGGATCGAGGGGAATCGATTCGATCTCTACGACCCAAGGCGTCTGTAAGCTATCGACGAATCAAAGATAGGACTGAGGATGGCGGAAGAAATCGAAGGAGGAATCGAAGGAAGCTGATACCAGACGTAAGCACAGAGATGCGAGAAGTAGAAGAACAAGAGGAGATCAAGGGAAGTAGATCGTAGAAGTAGCTTAGAATTTAACAGATGAGTGATTGTGGAGTAGAATTACAAGTTGTTTTTGATAATTGATATCCTCCCTCTCTCTCTCCGATTACATATACTGAGATGACACGGCACTCTCGCCGGGTGATGGCTGGTCACTTCCACTCCGGCCCATGGACTCGTATGTTGGGCCTACGGTCATGCCCTCCTCGACGCGACCCATGCTCGGCTTGAATGTCGCCGTGAACATCAGGCTCGCCGTCGTGGTTCCCGTTATCCTCCTGGGTTGGATGTAGTGGTACGGGTGCTGACAATTTTCCCTGGAGAACAACTTAAAAAAGCCTCCTTTTATTTAACATAAAGAAGGCAAACCGGGGACCAGTGCAGGCTGAAACGCCAATCGGCCCAGAAGTTCCTCGGCTGTTCGTGTCCGTCCACGTGGCACTCCTGGCCATTCCGGACCCACAGATCCGGCGCAGGGTCATGTGCCACTGCCATGGCCTCCTGCTTGTCGCAGCGGCAGATTGCGACGGAGAAGAAAGGTGAGGAGAGAAACGACCAAGCAAAATAATAATAATAAAAAAAAATCACGCCTTCATTGCGAGGGAGAGGATAGGGGGGAAGACGCCAAGCCAGCTCCAGTTCGGCACCCCGCTATAAAGCGCCACGGACTTGGATTGCTGACGAGATGGTACTCACTCGCCGACACCGCCGCCGCCGCAATGCTGTGCCTCGTGTCGCCGTCTTCCTCTCCGACTCCGCTCCCGCCGCCGCGGCGCTCTCGCTCGCCTGCTGATCGGGCGGCGCCTCCAGGGATCGCGGTGAGCTGCGGCGATCCGGAGGGCTACTGGATTTACTCCCTATTTTTGGTATGTACTGATGGTTGATGGTTTCGCAGGGTGGCGGCAATGTGCGCCTGAGTGTGCTGTCTGTCCAGTGCGAGGCTCGCCGGTCAGGGGCGCGGAAGGTAGATCTTTTCCCCAGATTGGAATACGTTGTTAGGGACAAAATGGAATTTTGTAGTAGTTTTGGAGGGAAAAACTCTGGAATTTGTGGATTGGGTCTCGCTTTGGATTTGGGTGAGGCTAGGCTCCAGTGCTTTGTTACCAGTAGTCGTCGATGTTATTTTATCAAGTCAAGCAGATCACAGATTTCAATTAAAGTTGTTTAAATTTTGGTGGTTGGTTTTCTTCTGCCATTCCAATGATTTATTACATAATAAAATAGTTAAAATAAAGTGGTATACTCTGTGGTTGCTGCTGCAGCTAATTAGCCTTACTATATTATCAGTTTATCACGTGTTAGCTTCTATTGCTCGTGTAATTCTGAATCTGTCTTTAACACACTTTGCAAGGTCAAGAGCAAATTCGCCACTGCAGCTACTGTACAAGAGGATAAAACTATGGCAACTGCCAAAGGCGATATCGATCATCTCCCCATATACGATCTGGACCCCAAGCTGGAGAAATTCAAGGACCATTTCAGCTACCGGATGAAAAGATTCCTGGACCAGAAAGGCTCCATTGAGGAAAATGAGGGAAGTCTTGAAGAATTTTCTAAAGGTTAGGCTTACAATACATTCAAATGCTAATATTTGTGGCACCTGCCTATGCCCATAAAACACCGCCAGATCTGAATCATCAATCTTTATGGATTTTATATTTTTTGCAGGCTATTTGAAATTTGGGATCAATACAAGTGAGGATGGAACTGTATATCGCGAATGGGCACCTGCTGCACAGTAAGTTCTAATGTTGTCATGCAAATATGATATACTGACGAAGTATGGCTATCATTTTTTTTTCCATTTTGCTTGTGAAGAGATGCTGTCTGATAGCAACTAGATAAAAAAGGTGCTACAGCATAGGGGAGTAATCAATGTTTGGGAATACATAACTGTTTGGAGATTTCACTCCCAAAGTGAGACTGTCATGTCTTGGGCTCTTGGCTGAGGAGGCTAAAACCTTTTTTTTCGCTCTCTTGTTGTTGTGATTACTTGATGCTGTTTTCTTTTGTATGACAAAACGTAGTTTCCACTAATTTAATAGATCGATGCATTTGAGTTGTTTTACTTATGGATGTAGGGAGGCAGAGCTTATTGGTGACTTCAATGAGTGGAATGGTGCAAACCACAAGATGGAGAAGGATAAATTTGGTGTTTGGTCGATCAAAATTGACCATGTCAAAGGGAAACCTGCTATCCCTCATAATTCCAAGGTTAAATTTCGCTTTCTACATGGTGGAGTATGGGTTGATCGTATTCCTGCATGGATTCGTTATGCGACTGTTGATGCCTCTAAATTTGGAGCTCCCTACGATGGTGTTCATTGGGATCCTCCTGCTTCTGAAAGGTCTGTTTCTACTGTCCTCAACCACATTGTAAACTTAAGCAATAGATCTTAGCTTGACAAAAATATATGACAAAATTATAGTACCTTTTATCTCTGTTTTGCAGGTACACATTTAAGCATCCTCGGCCTTCAAAGCCTGCTGCTCCACGTATCTATGAAGCCCATGTGGGTATGAGTGGTGAAAAGCCAGCAGTAAGCACATATAGGGAATTTGCAGACAATGTGTTGCCACACGCATACGAGCAAATAACTACAACACAGTTCAGTTGATGGCAGTTATGGAACATTCTTACTATGCTTCTTTTGGGTACCATGTGACAAATTTCTTTGCGGTTAGCAGCAGATCAGGCACACCAGAGGACCTCAAATATCTTGTTGATAAGGCACACAGTTTGGGTTTGCGAGTTCTGATGGATGTTGTTCACAGCCATGCAAGTAATAATGTCACAGATGGTTTAAATGGCTATGATGTTGGACAAAGCACCCAAGAGTCCTATTTTCATACGGGAGATAGTGGTTATCATAAACTTTGGGATAGTCGGCTGTTCATCTATGCTAACTGGGAGGTATTGAGGTTTCTTCTTTCTAACCTGAGATATTGGCTGGATGAATTCATGTTTGATGGCTTCCGATTTGATGGAGTTACATCAATGCTGTATCATCACCATGGTATCAATGTGGGGTTTACTGGAAATTACCAGGAGTATTTCAGTTTGGACACAGATGTGGATGCAGTTGTTTACATGATGCTTGCAAACCATTTAATGCACAAACTCTTGCCAGAAGCAACTGTTGTTGCTGAAGATGTTTCAGGCATGCCAGTCCTTTGCCGGTCAGTTGATGAAGGTGGAGTTGGGTTTGACTATCGCCTGGCAATGGCTATCCCTGATAGATGGACTGACTACCTGAAGAATAAAGATGACTCTGAGTGGTCGATGGGTGAAATAGCGCATACTTTGACTAACAGGAGATATACTGAAAAATGCATCGCATATGCTGAGAGCCATGATCAGGTACCCTGCATTATATTATAAGGAAGTATAGTTGGATGCAGCAAAGTATTTTATTTCCTTGTGGAGTAGAGGTAGACAACTAAACACGTCGGGCAAGGATCTTTTAATCAGACAGTACTATATTTCATCACATTTCTATCCTGATTACTAGTAATTGCATTAATCATTCATAAATATTTAGGCCCTCATAAGCATGTCTAATAATTTGCAATCACATATGACCTGTTTATCTTTACTGGAAATGAATCTCATGCAAATTTTCAGTCTATCGTTGGCGACAAAACTATAGCTTTTCTCCTGATGGACAAGGAAATGTACACTGGCATGTCAGACTTGCAGCCTGCTTCACCTACAATTGATCGAGGGATTGCACTCCAAAAGGTTCCATTTCTCAAGTTCTGGTTGAACTTGGTTTTATATAATTCTTGAACGTGTTCCCTCCTCTTAATATAGCTTGCTTATTGTGCTCTATACACTCCAGATGATTCACTTCATCACAGTGGCCCTTGGAGGTGATGGCTACTTGAATTTTATGGGGAATGAGGTGAAATCTTGGTCTACTAAAAAATGTTTCCCATTAATAAGCCTTCATAAACCTGTTCTATTTTGTCTATTTGATGTTTCAGCATTTAGGGTTGATCCTCTATTTTCTCAGTAACTCAAGTTCCTAATGGCTATTTGAATAGTTAATGCTACTAGGAACTTGAGTTACTGAGAAAATAGTTCATGTGCAAAGACAAGCGCTATTCAAATATATAGCCTAGAATAGCGCTTGTCTTTGCACATGAAAATGTGGTCTGTTTATTGCTACTAATCCTTTTGTGGCTTGTCCAATATATTCGTACAACATGGGATACATGTGACCCTTCACTGTTCAAAGCATACTGCTTAAATGTCAAACATCTTTTTTTGAACAAAGAAATGTCAAACATCTTACAGAGATATTATCAAGTCTTTCACCCGCACCATTCTGGAATGGAAAAAAATGAGTTTTTTTTTTCATATGCTATTTATACTTTTACACATGAGAGTGTGATCTTTGGTGAAGTTAGTTGACAGAATGGGCAGCTGCATATATTCCTTCTTATTTGTAGTGTCTTTAATTGACGTGCAATTCTCTTCTAGTTTGGTCACCCAGAATGGATTGACTTTCCAAGAGAAGGGAACAACTGGAGCTATGATAAATGCAGACGTCAGTGGAGCCTTGTGGACACTGATCACTTGCGGTACAAGGTTATGTCTATGAATACAACCCTTATATAGGTTTTTTTCGTTCCGGCATCATTCTAGGCTCTCTTTGACACTTACCTTTTCCTTTTTATCACTCTCTGATACTAGTTAGATGAGAGTTCCATACTGCTGTCACACTTTTGTGTTGAGCTGGATTCAAATATGCTTTTCCGTACTTTGTTTTGCTGCCCCACTGCCCTAGTATAGTAAACTGCACCAACCTTGTACTTCTTACTCGATAGACTGGTTGGATTGGCCTGTGCAAACCTACTATTTTGTTGACCTGGCTTTATGTATTGCCATTGTTGAATAAAAGTAATTTCAATGCATTGATTGGTATGACATTTTCTTAACTTTGCAGACCTAGGAATGCACTTCTCAATGATTGGTTGTTTTGTTAATATATAATTTGTTTTACAGCATATGGTGAACTATGTATCCAAGTGAAAGCCTGTTTTTCTGTTTTCTATAGTTCAAGTTTACAGTTTATCTCAGCTAACATATTATTGTTTTCTCCTTGCTCTAATGCTGAACAGTACATGAATGCGTTTGATCAAGCAATGAATGCGCTCGATGAGAGATTTTCCTTCCTTTCGTCATCAAAGCAGATTGTAAGCGACATGAATGATGAGAAAAAGGTAAGGACTTGAGAATACTTAGTATGACAGTGTTACGACATTTGTTTCTTTCTTAGGAAGAGTAGTAACTCTAGCTTGTGTGCTGTATTTTGCCGATTAAGGTGAGCTTCAATTTAGGAATGCACGGTTTCTGAAACCCTAGCCATTTGATTCAAATAGTTTGGTTTGTGAAAACATTATTTCCAATTTATTTCTACTTTGTTTCAGGTTATTGTCTTTGAACGTGGAGATTTGGTTTTTGTTTTCAATTTTCATCCCAAGAAAACTTATGAGGGGTAAGTTTTGTAATCTCTGTCTTTTCAAAGTCCCTTTTGCCTGTGGTCTAGTGTGCTTACTCTCATCTCTACTTTGCAAATAATATGCAGTTACAAAGTTGGATGCGATTTGCCTGGGAAATACAGAATAGCCCTGGACTCTGATGCTTTGGTCTTTGGTGGACATGGAAGAGTAAGTAGTGATGATATATGCTGGAAAGATGTTTTTTTCCTACTCCTGTAGTTGGGGCCATGAGAATTGTATCAGGATGTCGTGTTTGCAAGATTCATCGATGTTGTGACACAGGTTGGCCACGACGTGGATCACTTCACGTCGCCTGAAGGGATACCAGGGGTGCCTGAAACAAACTTCAACAACCGGCCAAACTCATTCAAAGTCTTTTCTCCACCCCGCACTTGTGTGGTAATGTTCACTTATCAGCTACTTCTCAACTGAACTGATGAACTAGAATCTATCAGTCGCAGTGCAATATCAGCCCCCTGACAAATCATTCTGCTACCAGGCTTATTCCCGTGTAGATGAAGAGGATGAACGTCTTCAAGCGAAATCAGAGACAACTGGTTCTAGAAAGACTTCTCCAGAGATCATCGATGTTGATGCTACCCCCGCCAAAACTTCTACCGCTACTAAAGAAGACAAGGAGGCAACATCTGGTGGCAAGAAGGACGATTCAAGCAACGCGCCAGTCATCGTCCAATAAAAATACCAAATGAAAGCCAGAAGCCCTTGATCAGGACTGGACTGGCTGCCAGCACCCTCTTAATAGTCCTGCTCTACTGGACTAGCTGCTGGTGCCCTTGTAACGGTCCTTTCCTGGCTCATAGGTGACTGGTGTCATTACCGAGCAAGCACTGCTTGTATAGTTTTCTAGATAGAGAAGAATAATCAGGGATGGATGTATGGACAGAGGAGCCATGGCCTGGGTTCACCTGGATTTTGACTATCTATTGGGTACATGAGTATGTAAAGGATCAGTTCCTGTCCAGAATAAAAACTTGGGTTTTCTTGTACCTTTGTACTTCCTAGGTTGGTGAAGATGTTTAATATTAGATGCCAATGCGCAGATATAGAACATATACTGTCAGTCTGCAGTACTAAAACTGAAGACGAAGTTAGGAAGCTTCTTCATTCCTTGTTCCCTGTCTAGTTCACATTTGATTTCAGCTGTTCAGCAGGTCAGGTCAGGTCAGGTCAGGTCAGCTCCACCGAGGGTCAGGCCGGCGTCACGCAGGCATCTTTTCATGTGTCATAATACTATATTTTGATCTTTCAACAAAAGATGGAGCACTAACGACCTCTTCTTCCAGGTCTTCCAACTCAAGAAGTGTCATGGGCACCGCTGGCTGCAGAGCACTGAGGCGACTGACCCACCAACAGCAGCTTTTTTGTTCTCTCTCCAGCACAGAACAAGAAGAGTGACAGGCTACTAGTAAGCATCATCTATCTATCTCTCAAGAGTAAAAGACTTTATCTCTCAAGAGTAAAAAGACTTGGACCGCTTCAAAGAGGCCTCAGATCGATCAGATCTTGTGACCTTTGTGTGTGGCTGAATGTCACTGGAAGGAATGCATGCAATGCAACCATGGACTTGACTCCCCGGCAAGAGGCAACATCCATCGACCAGCAAGGACTTGTGCATCCATGGAAGAACCGGTCCAAGTGACAGGGACGGATGGATGGGATGGCCCCAGCTCCGTTCCATTTCCAGGTCTTGCTTTCTTGATTCATATGGTACAGCTAGCTCACCCTTTGTCTCCAGTCTCCTAGCACCATACAAGTCCACGCTTGTCACACTCAGAAGCACTAGTAGGTTGCTTCATAGGAAGGCACATATTAAACTAAAGGTGAAAATTAAAGACAAGGTTATTGCTCTGATTTGGACATGTCTACTAGTGGTGTAGTACTTGCGTAACCCAAGCAGGTGCAGGTCCACAGTTGCATGCTAATGGTAAGGTGCCTGAAAACTGCAACCACTTTAGCCAACCGTTAGTCTCTTTTGTGCAGCAGCAGCCGCCGTCGCCGCCTGATAAATTCTCTTAAGTGCAATGATTTCCTGTTAGAAAGTAACTAATTCTTTGGAGTTTCGTCAAAAGGGAGAATCATTTCAGGACTTGGAACGATTCAACACGCGGTTTTCTTTTCAGAGGGACGACAAAACAAAGGCTTGGAGGTATGCCAAGAGAGCAGCATCACCATGCAATGGTAATGCAGTAGTGTCGTCCTGAGCTTGGGATTTCTTGTGAAAGTCTTGGCCACGCAAGGAATTCAACTGTCAGCGCGTCAAAACACTCCATCCGTCCGTCTGTCTTGTGGAAAACTGATGGTTTTTCTTTGTTTGTATTTTCCTTAGGGCAGACCCAGTGTCGGAGGCTCCCACATAGGTGGGGTCTGGGGAAGGGAAAAACCGAGGCAAGCTTTCCCCCGTAAAATCTACGGAGAGGCTGCTTCGAACCCGCGACGTGGTGACTCAGTCTCCGGCTTCTAGGAATTATGTATTTACAAATAAACTGTTTTGTAGGTTTTACCACTTCAATTCAACACGTACGTCTTGTGTCAAAGCAAATAAGGCCATCGATATCGAAATGAACTGTACATGTAAAGCTGTGGCTATGCGGAGTGAGGGGTACCTTCTATAGAACAGGCAACTTTTTGAAGCAATACCGTTACCATACTTGTTCCATGATCCAGACATTTTTTGGTAGTTCAAAATATGACCCGGTCAGGAAAAAAAATTAAACATGGTTAGTGGGGCACACCTAAAATACTTATAACACAATAATGTGTTCATTAGCAACAGGAAGGAGCCTATTGACAGCGAGACGTCTAAGTTGACTTTGTTAATCTTAAGATTTATTGTGCGAGTGTGTGCACATACGTATGAGCATCTGTGTTTGTATTGTGTTTTAAAACAAAGACAATCATGTTTTTTCAAGAAAAGTGTGCAGGTGCAGCAAGTGATATAAAGGTTTATCAGTGCTAAAAAAAGCATTAGACATTGGAATTAACATATATATGGCATAGTCAAGGTCAAGAATGATGGTATACAGTAGTTAAGGCAGTCAGAGATTATTCTCTCCGTATCCTTTGAGAAAGCTACGGGTGCCCAATCTGATCAGAACTGCATGCACATAAATTAAGAAAAGCTACTTATCTACTAATTGCAGTGCAGTGCAGACGCGTACTCTGAATAATTTAGTTAGGCCTTGTTTAGATTACTCCCAAATTCCAAGTTTTTTCACTCTCTCTCCATCACATCAATTTTTAGCCGCTTGCATGGAGCATTAAATATAGGTAAAAAAAATAACTAATTGCACAGTTTAGTTGGAAATCACGAGATGAATCTTTTGAACTTAGTTGGTCTACGATTAGACAATATTTACCAAATAAGACGAAAGTACTACTATTCATCGAGTTGAAATTATCTTCAATCTAAACAAGGCCTTAGTGTGCACCAATGGACCAAGTCGTCGTCTCGGACCACTTTGCAGGCTTGCAACCACTCTCTTCTTTATCTGCAGGATCGTCGGAGGTCCCATCTTTTTTTTTTACATGTGCACCACTCCAGTTCACCAGTTGTGTGTTGGTAGCACCAATCAGTTGTACTTATTTTGAACGAATTAAATATCATACGACTGTTTTTTCAGAATGGAAGAATTAAATTTTCTGTTGATACACCACACAGTGTGCTCTCCAAACTTGACATTTTCTTTTAAATAAACTAAAATATGACATGATCAATTATTTATTATAGCAACTTTGAGCATCCGTGTTTAAATGTTTATTTACACAAAGTTTTTAGAAAAAAATATTTTCCGTTTGCTAAATAAATACTTCCTCCGTCTCCAAATAAATCAATTCACAGAATCCGTGCAAGTCAAATTATCTTAAGTTTGATTAACTTTATAGGAAAGAGTAACAAAATGTATGACATAAAATGAGCACACTATGAAAATATATTCTATGGTATATCTCTAATTGTACTAATTTGATGTCATAAATCTTAATGGTTTTTTCTAGAAATTCAGTCAAAACTTTAAAAGTTTGGCTTAAGACAACACTAGAAATCTATTTATTCAGGACAGAGAGAGTAATAAATACTCCAGCATGGATCATTATATTTTCCTTTTGCTGGAGAGATTAAATGATTCATCGTGCATGGCCAACACAACTCTGAAACCAGTACTGATATATAGTACTGGTCTACATCCTCGTCAATTGGTTACAGGATATATAAATAAATTAATCAGTCTTTCCCAGATTATAATATTGTCATTATATTAGATACTGACAGTACCACAAAGCTAATTAATCAGCTCCCAAAGCAAGTACTGCATATATCTGTAAAATAATCAGCACTAAGCCAGCAATGAAGAATTCCAAGCAAAGCAAGTCTTAATTTCCACACACAGACACGACACTGCCTTTAGCATTAGGGCAGTAATCAGTAATAAAAGTCAGCTAGTATGACGCAGGAGAAGACTCGCTGGGAAACAGACGAGAGCGCATCACCCCACACACTTTCCTCCCATCTCACTCTCGCGCAGTCTCGCTCGCCTTGACGGCATCGTGTCATGTCTCCTCGCCAGTCTCCTCCCCGCCGGCCGGCCTATATATGCAGAGGGAACCCGCCTCTTTCCTCTCATGCATCCGGCTCTCGATCAGCAGCTCATTTCCACCATCGATCCATCAAGCAGCCAGAGCAAAACCAACAAAGCCAATCCATCATGGCGGAGCAGCTGCGGCGTGGCGCATCACCACCGTCATCCGGCGCGGCGGAGCTGGAGCTGCCGGGGTTCCGGTTCCACCCGACGGAGGAGGAGCTGCTGGAGTTCTACCTGAAGCAGGTGGCGCAAGGGCGGAAGCTCAAGTTCGACATCATCCCCACGGTGCACCTGTACCGGCACGACCCCTGGGACCTCCGGGCCTGGCGCGCATCGGCGAACGGGAGTGGTACTTCTTCGTGCCCCGCGACGGTGGCGGCAGCCGGGCGGCCAAGCAGCACCAGTCCGGCGGCGGCGGCCGGCCCAGCCGCACCACGGAGCGCGGGTTCTGGAAGGCCACGGGTCGGACCGCTCCGTACGGTGCGCCGACGACCCCAAGCGCCTCATCGGGCTCAAGAAGACGCTCGTCTACTACGAGGGCCGCGCGCCGCGTGGCACCAAGACCGACTGGGTCATGAACGAGTACCGCCTCCCCGACGCCACCACCTGCTGCAATGCCGCCGGCGACTCATCGGCGGCCTCCTCCACCAACAAGTCGCCCAAGGTATACATATACATCATCCTACATCGTAACTAGCTAGTAGTATCTAGTACATGCATGCATGTCGTTATTAATCCATCTTTATTAGCATACGCGCTGGTGCTAATAGTTAGCTAGCTAATAGCTAAATCTACTAAGTAATCCAACTGATAATCACAAAAAAAAACTAATCCAACCGATAATAGGTGGTTGGAGGTATAGAAGAACTGTTAGTATCTATTAGCACCTCTCTACCAATTGAGGAACTAATAATTGTTAGCATCTCCACCTGCTAGTAGTTTGAGGTCTGTATTAGCAGCCCTACTTGGATCTTCAACGGTTAAGTTTAGTTGTTAACTATTAGCACGCCACTAATAATCCAAAAAGGGCCTTTAGTTAGTTTTGTTTGCATTTTCGTTAATTCATTCTTCTACAATAGAAGTAATCCCAGATGTATCTTGGTCAGGTTTATATATATATATATATATATATATATATATATATATATATATATATATGCGGAGGGTGTGAAATGGTTGACCTTGACTCCGAGGTAGTAGTAGTCAGTAGTCACGCGCGTGCTTTGAAAAGTAGCTAGGACACCTAGCTAGCTAGCTAGAGATATTTACTTTGTCAGGTGCAGCATGAAAGCAACGTTTTTATATATATGTTAATTAATTATATATTTCAGTCCATAAGCTAGCCAGTATAGTGCAAGTCCTAATCATCATTTTTATGTAACGCGTGCAGGAGGACATCGTGCTGTGCAAGATCTACCGGAAAGCTGTGTCGCTCAAGGAGCTGGAGCAGCGGGTGGCCATGGAGGAGCTGGCGCGCGCCACCGCCACGCCGTCCGCGTCCGCGTCCCACAACACCGGCTCGCCCGCCGACTCCATGTCGTCGTCGGACCACGAGGCGGCGGCGGCGGCCCATCCCCGGAAGCAGCAGGGAGGGGACATCATGATGATGCCCGTGGGCATCTCACCACCACCTGGGGTGATGAGCATGAAGAAAGAGGAGGTGGCCGAGCCGCTGCCGACGGCGACGACGGTGCTGATGAGGCCGGCGACGCTGAGCCTGCCGCAGCTGGAGGTGGCGAAGCAGCAGCCGGCGCAGCAGGAGTGGATGCAGGACCCATTCCTGACGCAGTTGCGGAGCCCATGGATGGAGAGCTGGTCGCCCTACTACGCCAGCGTCCTCAACTTTTAACCAATCCATATATATATATATATCTTGGATTCTCAATCAAATAGCTATATATATAGTCGTTGTTACAGAAACCTAGCTATATAGTAATAGTATATAGTTTTAATTTACAGCATATATACGCATGTTGTATGTATGTAGTCGCGTAGAGATGGCTAGCTAGCGAGATACATTCATACAGAGGCACAGAGCTAGCATGAGTATCTTGGATGGCATCACATATATATATATATATATATATATATATATATATATATATATATATATATATATATATATATATATATACACGGAAAAAGTCTACTTAACCCCCCACCTTTCATACTCGGTCTACTTCACCCCCAACTATGAAACCGTCTGTTTTACCCCCTGAACTTTCCAAAACGTCTATTTTATCCTCCGGGCGGTTTTTGACAGCGGATTTACTACAGTAACAACGAGTTTGTTACAGTAACGGTTTTTGAAAAATCATAGAAAAATCATAAAATAAAAAATCTAATTTTATTGGACTCCACATGAGTAGATCTACACAGTGAATATATAATACGGTATGCTTTAGTACAAAATTTCTACTGTAGCCTTAGATTAATTGGAAAATCTAAATTTGTCTGTAATTAATTGATATATACTGTAGCCTGAGAGTAATTGGAAAAATCTAATTTTACTGTAGCAAACCCGCTGTTACTGTAGCAAACCGCTGTCGAAAACAGCCGGGAGGGTAAAATAGACGGTTTTGAAAAATTCATGGGGTAAAACAGACGGTTTCATAGTTGGGGGTGAAGTAGACCAAGTATGAAATGTGGGGGGTTAAGTAGACTTTTTCCTATATACTGAGGAGCTAGTACACATACATGGTATGTATATGCAACAAAGTACATTAACAGCTAAGTTGCGCTGTCATCCATGCCATTAAGATTAAGTTAGCGTGAGTGGTGCCATGGTTGCTCCAGCTTGAGAGGTCGTGGGTATTTGCTTTGTACAGTAGCAAGGTTTTCGTGCAATACAAGAGAGAACTCGGCCCTTTGAACATGCAGTCCATCATTTTAATTTTTTTCTTTTCTTTTCTTTTGGATGGTCAAAGGGGGCAGAGCATCTTCCCACCTGAATTGTATTGTTATAGCATGGCAAACCACAGATCAACCACCTTGTTTAGGAAAATAAGACAAAACCCTATATTGTCTGGTTAATTTTGAAAAAGCGATCTAATACCACAACACTACCTAGCTGAACTGGGCCTCACAGGTAACCGGTAGTCCCAGCACAAGGGTACCAGAGGGAACGAGGCCTGTAGCATTTTGGTTGGAAGCTCGATTGGGAAGACAGTGGGAGTGGTCTGGGAGAAAGCCGCATGGAGACCCACTTGCATGTGGAGAAGGCCCGTGGACGATTCACTTGGAGTTAACAGATCATGAGCTTAGGCTTTGCGAGGGCATCCTTGCTAGGGGCTCCAACAAGAACTATGAGGAAGTGTGAGCTTCTCGATACCTCGGAAAAAATCACCGTGGGAATTTACATATCTAACATATTTACGCTTCCACATTTACTTGCTTTCCTAGGTTGTGTTTTACCGTTTCCGGTCTATCTTGCTAGGTTAGTTGAATATGTTTGGACCGACCTAGGTTCCATGACTTTTTTGTGTTATCGACAACAACACTTAACAAAACCATAGTGCACATATCTAGATAAAATCTCACGGTCCCTTCAATTGGCATCACCTAGATGGGTTGGTAATGATTGGTGCTTGGTGACCTCTCCGTGAAGATTATGAGAGGCCCAAGTTGGTGTACATAGTTTCAATGGTCCATCATTCCGTCTTGGAGAATGATCAACCACTAGAGAGCACTTGGTCCTTGCACGGATTAAGGGGGGCTATACCTTGTGAGGTGCTCCAACAAGGACTAGTGAAGAGTGCCAACTCTCTGATACCTCATGAAATATCGTTGTGTCCCTTGTGCTCCCTCTTTACATTATGCATATAATTTCTTGCAATTTATATTCCTAGAATTATCATGCTAGTGTAGGGTTAGAACTTAAGGTGCAAAACTTTTGTGCTATAGGCACAAAACAACACATATGGGTGAATTTAGATAAGCATAGATTTCATTTTTTGAAACATTTAGATTAGCTTAATTCACTCCATCCTACTAGGCATCTTGATTCTTTCAATCGGCAAACCCCTAATTAAATGGACTTTGGCACGGTGTGGTTGCACGTGGACTCTAAGGTGGGGGAGAGGAGACAAGTTTCAAGGCGGGTGGATGAAGAGCGACCTTGGAGTCAGTAGCCGAGTGGCTAGGTAGGAGGTAGCGCCTCTTTTTGTGGGGTGAGCGGTCGGTGGTGGTACAGTGGCATGCATCTGAGGGGTGGCAGTGCAATCATGTGTGAGGTTGTGACGGGTGGCAGTGCTTTTGCTACAATCAAGGTTGATTGCGACCTCCCTCGGTTAGTTTCGTCGATCCATTTCGTCACTACTATAGAAAATCTTTTGCACTACGTTTCACTTTGGGGCTCCGAGGCGGTTGGCCTGGTTGCCCACCTCGGTTATTCGAGGCAGGGAAGCCGGGCCAACAACCGCCTCGGTAAATCATTAACCGAGGCAGGAAACCTAACATGCCCACCTCGGTTAATATATATTAACCGAGGCGAGCATTCTAACTCAACCGCCTCGATAAAACAATAACCGAGGCGGGCATTCTAACTCAATTGCCTCAGTAAATCAGGCCCAACCCGCTAGCCCACACCAGCCCACTACCATCTCCCATATATAAACGCAGGGGTTAGGGTTTCACTCTCCCAACCATTCCTCCCAGCGCTCTCCCTCACGGCGCCCGCTCTCCCTCGTGGCACTCGCACCCGCAAGCGACGCCGCGCCCCTCCCCCTCCCCATCTCGATGACGCGCTGTGGCAGAACCGCTCGAAATAACACACTTTTGGAGGCGTTCGTCTTCCACTAAACACTAAACACCCCAAAAGTGAGCTACATTGGACAGTTCCGTTGAGCACACCCTACGGGAGAACTCAAAATAATCTATGTTTTACCTCCAAAATCCAATAATGAGTACGAGTTTATAATACTTAGTCCATTTCATACAACAAGGGTTCTTGAAAATTATTTATTACAATACTAGAGTTCAGAATGCGATAATTAAATAACGGAAAGAAAATAAACATCTAGCGCAAATGATACAAGAATTCGTCTGTGCCCACTAGAAGAATCCTCCACACAAGAGCTACTCCTTAAACTACACCTTCAACAGGGATAAATAAACCTTGAGTACACAATGTACTCGCAAGACTTACCCGACTAGTGGGAATAGTTTTTCGACTCCAAGGGGTATGATAGGCAATATGGGTTTGCTGTTTTCTTTTTGTTTGCGAAAAGCATTACTAGAAGTACGTCCTTAAGATCAAGTTTAATTAGCAGTCATGAATACTTCATTAACTAACCATTCTAGGTAAGCACCTGTACTACCTTCAAGCAAGGGTTGAGCAATCAGAACCAATTTACCATCTTTTATATTCTAGTTCTTACTACAGTGCTAGACCATAGCAAAGTCGTACCGTCTCATGAAAACGACGATTCATGAACCAATATATCCCAGCTGGGTACCCTAAAACACACGCCATGTTTGTACCCTAGGCACAAACAAGACCAACCCATTCTACTCCTATCACGGGCTCTAGGCCCCTGTCCAAACTTAGACTCTAAGCCCCACACTTGAGACCCGGTCTCAATATGGTGCTTAGACCTCCACCTTTCTCTGCCTCCAATCAGTTGCTCCGGAAAGAGCCAGAACCCATAACAAGAGCGTAACGAGCCTTCCTGCTCCAATAAGCAAGTATGTGCTCAGGATAATAAGTCTGTGACCCAACTACCATCCACAGCAACGGATGGTCCTCAATCGACACGGACAGGGAAAACAGTGTAACCAAGCTAAGCCCCGTGGCCACAGGACACAACTCGTCACACCCACCACAACCCATACCATATCCCTGCTCGGTCTCCATTTTCATTTCATCATTTTTATCATGAGAGTAATTATAATAATCACCTATTATGAGTAACGGTAGGTTACTCACGCTACTGAAAAACTAAGCATACCAGCTACTCGAACCTACACTAGTAAGACTCATAGGACGGATATATCTATGCATGTGGTTTCTATAAAACTCCTGTAACGTAAATGCACATCACATATATATACGGTGATTATCAAAAATAAGGGTTATGCACCAGGGCTTGCCTTGGGCAGGCGCGGTGTCAGCTGAATCAGTCGTCGGTGGCTTCAAGACCTTCTCCTGCATGAGAATTTCCTCCTCGTACTCCTCGACGATCTCCTCGAACTCACAATCGTCTATGGTCTCTATCTCCACCAACTCGTTCTCTACATGCATGCGATGATGATGCAACACTTAGCATTTAGGCAACAACAACTCTTAAAATAAGAATACGCATACTAAGCTACAAAGCTAGCTCTAATGACTAAGATACTAAGCTAACTAACATCTTCCTCAAACAAAGTATTGGGTTCAACTAACATACCCTTAGCTTGGCAATTTAAGGATATATCTTTATTTCTACTAGTGATTTAATGTATATTGAAACAAAGAGCATTTAATTACCCTAATGCTTAGTCTATTCTAAGGCTACAAAAATTATAGTGAACACATAATAATACAATGAAACTGCTGTAAAAATTTTAGGATCAAAACTATCACCAATTACCACAAAAATTCCTACAATGATTAACTTAATAATATTAAGCACTTTCAAACAATTTAATAGCCCTTAGTATCAACATAGATATGCATGATATATCTATACTACCAGATAGATCACAATTTTAGAAACGTAACAAAATTAGTTTCATGATTTTTGGACACCTATACGATTTTATATTAATTAAACAAAACTGGCTCACAATTAAAAATAAAAACTATTTCTAATTCTTTACAAAAAAAGAGGAAGCGAACTGGCCCAGCGCGGCCCAATGTGGGCGTGG